CACCCACTTATCTTTCCGCTTAAATATAGAAAATACTACGTGGGCAGAAAATTTGTTTAATTTTTTGTAAATATTTTTAAAATCGGATGCAAAGTTGGCAATAAAAATTACATTTGCAGATATTCTTTATAAACTTCACCCATTAACACAGTTTTCACATAAGTCGGCCAAAGATACCAGTATTTAACCTAAATAACAGAAAACACCAAGAGACAGACAAGCAGAAGACGGAAGACAGAAAGACAAGAAGACCAGAAGACTTCACCCAGAAGACTGTAGCCATAAGAATGAGTAAAAAAAAGAAAGAAAGAAAAACGAAAGAATGAAATGGCAAAAAATTACGTGCCGAATGAACCGAATGGGAATAAAAGTAGAATTTCTTTGAGTTTGCAAAAGTAGGCGAAAAAAATTGTAAGTCTGGGGGCGGTGGGGTGATGGTGCTAAAAAAAGAGGGGGGGCTGACTCAAGTCAAGTCAAATGCGGCGCCGCAAAGTTACTCTACCTGTTTTCCCAAAGTTCGAGGCAGTTGAGGAAAAAAAATGGTTCGAAATCGGAAAGAATATGAAGGCTTACTTAGAGATATGCTGACAAATATATGGTTTATATTTAGTTTGATGGCTTTAAATTTAAAAAAATTCTGTATAAAAATATTTATCGATAAAATGCGTATGCTTATCGATAGAGTCCTTAAAGTATTTATCGATACATTTATTTAAAAGATGAAATTCTGTAAAGATTAAATAAGACTCTCAAGAATGTTTCAAAACATTCTCAAAAATGGCTTATTTTGTTCCCTTAGGCCTTGATTTTTTTGTTAGCCTATCTCATTAGCTATAGCCATATAATTTAAAAATTTTCCTAAACTATGTCTCTCAGTGCCTTGCTAAGCCACGTGGCACTTCTTTGTCGCTGAAATGCAAAGCTGAAGCAACCAAAAAGGAAAAGCCATTGAATTTTTAGCACGATTTGTCAAAAGCAGAGGCCCCTTTTTGTGTGTGTGGGTGTGTGTGAAAGATTTCCCTCTTGATTTTCTTGAACCACCTACCTGTTCCCTCGCCCCTAGTTTTCCACCCACAAATCGCACAAATCTCGCAATGAAAGCATATCAAAGCCAGAGAGTAGACGAAACAATGATGAATCAAGGTGGGCTGCTGATAGGAGGGGCCTGACAGGAGGATGGAGTGAAAACTGGGGGAAAAATCTGGATGGAAATTGCTGAGGTCTGAGGACTAGTTGCCCCAGCAGGTGGTCGTAGGGGGTAGGTTGAGAGGTAGTAGAGGAAAAAGTCCTCTCAAAGGCAAACATTTAGTTGACAATGCCAGAAGGTCAAAGCGAAAATTCTTGTATTTTTTTTTCTTTTCCAATCAAAATGTGTTTTTGATTTTTTTTTAAAGAGTAAATTGAAAAACCTAGAAAGAATAATTTTCTTTGATTTTGTGTTATTTTTTTTATATTAAAAACGAAAATTAGTTATTTGAAATAGATAACTACAATTTATGAGTGGTTTTTAAATAAATTTTTTTTATAATTATTTGCTTAAAAATTTAATTTCTTTATTTTTATGTATAAAATAATATTTTTTTTTAAACTATTTAAATTGTTAAAAAGATATTTAAATTGTTGAGATTTAAAATGTTGATGATTCTAAGCTACAATATTTCTTTTAAGCCCTTGTTATTTATTTTTTTTTAAAGGAAAGATTTAATATTTCGCAGTTTATTTACAGTATTTTTTTTATTTAATTTATATTTATTTTTATTTAATGGCTTGTCTTCCGCATGTCTTAAAATGTTATGTATCATGGAGTATAGATTATTTTGTTGTTATCATATTTCATATTCTTGATATTCCTGACATAATGCGCACCTGATGCCTCAAAAAAACACACACCAATTGGCCTAAACAAAGAAGAAAAAAATCTTTTAAAAGCCGCACATTTTATATTGGTTTTTTATATATATATTCTTCCAGTTTTTTTTTTGAAGAGCAAGTACTTTTCAGCGCGAACATTAGCGGGATTCTGGCCTGTTTTCCTGGTAATAGGGGGGATGGCCAGTGGAAAGGGGAAATGGGGGAGTGGCGAGCTGAGAGTGCTATAAATCCAGATCCAAAATGAAGCTTAGAGATGGTCGCGTGATTGGATCGTTAGGCAGACCACAGGCCCCCTTCTACCATCCCACACCCCACCTTTTAGCCCATTTCAATTTCAAGTTATGACGATGTCGTCTCCCTCCTATATAGCGCCACCCCCCCTCATATTTTTTGGAGCCCACGTCTCTGTGTTTTTGTGGCCATTTTCGAAAATGGCTTTGGCAATTTCTTGGCTGCTGCCGCGTAATGAAAACGGACAGGTGTGTCCCGGCCTGGTTGGGAGAGATGGGGGAAAAAAAAATCCGCCAGGACCTCCCACCCATTTCTCCCATCAATATGCGCATTCCCCTAGCCCCCCTGTGGAATATCGTTCCCTCTATCCAGCAATTTGTGATTTTTCCCAGCGGCTACTCGGCTGATTCGCGTAACTTTTCATTTGTGCGGCGAAATGTCGCAGATGACGATGGGCCATGGGCTAAATGCCCATGTTGATGATGCTCCACCCCCCAGCCCCTCTAGCGGCCGATGCCCAAATGTGGGATTTTCCCAAAAAGACCCACCGATTTCCCAACCATACAGTGGAGGTGGTGGTGATTTTTCAACAGGCCCCCCAATAATAAAACTTTGGAATACTTAAAGCAGCCATGACTGCCAAGTAGAATTTTTCTTGGTCGTTTTTTCTTCAGGGATTTCATTCTTATGTTTTCAAAATATTTTTTTTTAAATTGAGTAGTACTTGTAGATAAACATTGGTATTTTCGAAATATTTTAAACCCTTTTTTAATACCTAAAATTTTTAAAATAAAAAAATCTCTATCATACAAGAATTATTTTGTGATTAATGTAAAAATAAAATTTGTAAAAATAACTGGCATAAAAATTATATTAAAAAACTTTACATTTTACAAATTCCAGTGCTATTTTGACCATGTCCTTTTAAAAATATTTTGAATACCGACAATTTTGTTAAACATTATTTATAATTGCTTTAATGGCTTTTCCGCCTAATTAAAATTCCTTTGAGTTGTTGACAATTTATTTAACTTATTTATACATGTTTTTTTTTCCTACAAACGCTGAAAACTCCAGTTTCCAACTTTTAATCTGTGCCTTTTGCATTGGGCTTTCCTCTTTTGTTTCTCATTTTCTATTTTCCATTTTCTCTGTTTTCAGTTTTCCTTTTTTTTTTTTTTAATTTTCCTTTTTTTTTTTCATTTTCATTTGTATTTTTCTTTGATTTTTGCAATTTTCTGCGCCTAAGCTCGGCATGCGTGAGCTTTTGTGTGTGAAAACAGGTTTTCACTGATTTTCAATTTCAATTGTCTAACACACGGTTTTTGTGTGTATGTGTGTGTGTGTGTGTGTGTGTGTGTGAATGTGTAGGGTGTATATGTATGTGAGGGAGGTGTATCTGTGTGTGCCACCATCATGAATCTGTCAATGTGAGCCTCTATTTTGTGCCATTTTTATTTGCGCACATTAGCAATTTCTTTTGTTGACTCGTTGCCATCGTCGTCGTCGTCGTTGTCGGGCCTACTCCTCAATCTGACCTAACCGCATTTGTCTCCCAAAACCACCCAACGTTCAGCCACCCAACCACCTACTATCCACCACCTAACCCCCCTCACCTGCTTATTGTTATTGTCTCCTACTATTTCTATTTTTTTTTTTGCTTTCCACTGAGACTATGTGCGTGATTTTCCACTTGTATAGTATGTGCCTTCGGCCCTCACTCCCCTTTTTATTATGATCTTTGCCAGGCTATTGTATTTGATTGTGGCTCATTTTTTTAATACTTTACTTTTTATTTATTTCGCTTCCACGTTTGGTTTTCATTTTTTTTTTCCTTTTCTCAAACTCGACTGACGCTTTTTTTTCGCTTTCGTTTCGTAGAGCAATTCATTTGTGCCTTAATTTAATGTAATCTGTTCAATGTTCTATTTTTCCTTCACGTTTTCGCTTTTTCTTTGCTTGGAGTCTAGAGATTCTTGATGCGGTAATGGCATTTCATTTTTGGGGGGTTTTTTGTTAAGAAAAAAAATAATAATGACTCTTAAAACCATTTATTCATTTAATTGTCTCTGGTAGACTGTAAGAATTTTTAGTGGAAAAGGGTTAAAAGATTTAAGATTTGTTAAGATTTAGATTTAAGATTTGTTTGAAGAAATTAAGATTTGTAATATTATTATCGAGCATATCGATATTTATCGGTTCCAAAACTATAACAATCGATTCAATATTTTCTAAAACTCGTTTTCCTATTGAAGAAATACTTACTTTTAAGTTACAGTTTCACTTGAAAACTTTATCCTTTTCCTTAGTATTTAATAATTGAACAAAATACTTGAGGAGAAACGTTTGAAGTTTTGCAAACTTTTTTCATTTGTGTATTTCTTATTTATTTATTTAATTTTTTTTTACTCTTCTCGTTACAGGATTGCATAGTAGAGTAAAGTGCAAAACGCAGTGAAAACATTCCAAAGAGGATGTGCAATTTCCTTATCAAACAAAATTTTCCCGGCATCAAGGCATCATATTAATTTTTATTTTTCAAGTGTCTGGAAAAAAAAAAATAAAAATATACAAACAACAAAAAAGGAAGAAAAAAAATCACAGCTAAGGAGGAGGAGGAAAAAAAAAGTTGAAAGACGCCGAAGGCAAAAGTTCACATAAAGCAGCCGAAAAAAGTTTTTCAATTATTGTAAAAAAGTGTTAAAAAGATAGGGCAAAAAAAAATAAATGTAAAAGAGCAAGACGGAGAGAGCAAGAGCGAGCGAGATGGCTAGCAATTATCCTTCAAAAAAAAGGCCAAACGGAAGATAAATTTAATTAATTGTCCCTTAAAGTGCTTACCGCAAAACAAAATAAATTAATATGATTTCTAATTAATAAATATTTTATTAAAACAGCCCAGAAGAGAGACAAAATAGATACGGAAAAAGGAGGACGTATAAACTTTTAATTTTTGAAAAACTCTTAAATCTCCAAGTGTAAGAAATATAAACGGAAAAAATCAAGAAAGTCAGAGAGAAAAACTAAAAAGAGGACCAACTCACCAAAAATGAATCCGACGCCCGTGGGCATTGGATTCGGATTTGGTCGCAAGCCGCCCAACAAGGCCAGAATGCGTTCCCGTTGGCGGCCATTATCCGGCCCGGTGGCGGCGACAATCCTGCCACTAGCCGGGGGCGACAGCCCTGTCGCCAACACAGATACACTGACGCAATTAACGCATAAAATTAATAACAACACCAGCCATCCAGAACAACTGCAAAATGATAAGAATGATGATGAAATCAGACGAAGCAGGAGCAGTCGTGCAGTCCACCCACAAAAAAGTAATTACCATCCACAGTACCACCGCCTGCGCGGCCAGGTGACAACCCTGGCAATGCTATTAGTGGCCCTTGTGGCCTTGAACAACCTTGAGAGCCTGTTAGCCGTGCGAACCGAAGGACCGCGCAATCGTCATGGACCACCAGGTGAGTTTTCGTCCTTTTTTTTTATGAAAATATAGGAAAATATTTAAATTAGTACAGAATGTAAATAGTATCAGTAAAAAATTTATGGAAATGATTTAAAAACCGATTTAAGCTTTAAGATTTCTAATTTTAGATTTTTACCAAAAAGCACAGCCTTACATGTTCTAAACAATGAGAACTTTACTCATTTAATAATTATTTATGATTAAAGTAAGCCTTTAAAAGTAACCAAAAATCTTTAATTTCTTCACTTTTTATATAATTGCCCTTAAATTGCTTCGAACATCAAAAAGCATTTCTCATCCTTTAATACGAGATGAAAATGTCAATGATCCGCTTTGCTTTGAGTTTGCCTCTTAAATTCCTTGACATATTTGATTTATAAATTAGGAAGACGACTTTGTGACTTTTTCCTACAACCACCACCCCCATCATTAGAGGCATCGTCAGACCCATCCGAAATACCAGCAGCACCACCCCCGTCAAATTTTATGGCAGTTGCATTTCCTTTAATCTGTTTTAACTGCCTTCATATATTGATTAGCACTTCACACCAGAAAATTAAGGCACAAAAGCGAACTTTGTTCGTCTGCCCATCTTCCCACATTTTATATACATACATGTATATATATACATATATATATATATTTATATATCCATATATTTTAGTGAGTGTATGAGTGGCGGTGACTGTTCGTGTCACTTGAAAGTCTTGCCCGCAGCATGACCAACATTTTTCATCCAATCCCCCAGTCAGCCCCTCGAAAAAAATAAATAAAAACCCCAGGAAGACAATCGAAAGAAAGCCCACGGCCCCCAATAATAATAAAAAAAAAAAAGAAAATAGACACTGATCCGGGAAGGGAGACCAAAACAAAAAATTAATAAAATTACAAAAATCTTTACCAACTTAAAAAGAAATCCCATAGAAAAATTGTTGGAAAAATCGCAAGAGCGACGGAGTGAGAGAAAACTAAAGTCCCTCACCACCGCATTTTCCGCAAATTTTTCGCGCCATGTCGTTGGCTTTTTACTTTTTTTTTCTGCAAGTTACAGGGTAGAATGGATTGTCTGTTTTTAGCACTTTGGACTTAAAGAAAATGATTTTTTTTAATATGAAAAATTTTTTTAAAAGTTTTTTTTTCAAAATTTTTCTGAGGGAGACCCTGAAAAATTCCGAAATCCATACATATATGGCTCCTTGCCAAGCCTATATCTTTGACAATTTTCATCCGATTCTTAACCGGAATACCTTATACGATTTGTATTTCGATTCTCCACTAATCTGCACCAAAAAATGGAGGAAGAATTTTTTTGAGATTTTTTTCAAAATTTTCCTGATCGAAACCCTGATAAATCACGAAATCCCTATATGGCTCCTTGCAGAGACTATATCTTTGACAATTTTCATCCGATTCTTAGGCGGAATACCTTAAACGATTTGTATTTCGATTCTCCACTAATCTGCACCAAAAAATGGAGAAAGAATTTTTTTGAGATTTTTTTCAAAATTTTCCTGTTGGAGACCCTGAAAAATCACGAAATCCCTATATGGCTCCTTGCAGAGACTATATCTTTGATAATTTTCATCCGATTCTTAAGCGGAATACCTTATACGATTTGTATTTCGATTCTCCACTAATCTGCATCAAAACATGGAGGAAGAATCTTTTTGAGATTTTTTTCAAAATTTTCCTGATGCAGACCCTGAAAAATCACGAAATCCCTATATGGCTCCTTGCAGAGACTATATCTTTGATAATTTTCATCCGATTCTTAGGCGGAATACCTTAAACGATTTGTATTTCGATTCTCCACTAATCTGCACCAAAAAATGGAGAAAGAATTTTTTTGAGATTTTTTTTTCAAAATTTTCCTGATGCAGACCCTGAAAAATCACGAAATCCCTATATGGCTCCTTGCAGAGACTATATCTATATATCTTTTTATCCGATTCTTAAGCGGAATACCTTAAACGATTTGTATTTCGATTCTCCACTAATCTGCACCAAAAAATGGAGAAAGAATTTTTTTGAGATTTTTTTTCAAAATTTTCCTGATGCAGACCCTGAAAAATCACGAAATCCCTATATTGCTCCTTGCAGAGACTATATCTTTGATAATTTTCATCCGATTCTTAAGCGGAATACCTTATACGATTTGTATTTCGATTCTCCACTAATCTGCATCAAAAAATGGAGAAAGAATTTTTTTGAGATTTTTTTCAAAATTTTCCTGATCGAGACCCTGAAAAATCACGAAATCCCTATATGGCTCCTTGCAGAGACTATATCTTTGACAATTTTCATCCGATTCTTAAGCGGAATACCTTAAACGATTTGTATTTCGATTCTCCACTAATCTGCATCAAAAAATGGAGGAAGAATTTTTTTGAGATTTTTTTCAAAATTTTCCTGATCGAGACCCTGAAAAATCACGAAATCCCTATATGGCTCCTTGCAGAGACTATATCTTTGACAATTTTCATCCGATTCTTAAGCGGAATACCTTAAACGATTTGTATTTCGATTCTCCACTAATCTGCACCAAAAAATGGAGGAAGAATTTTTTTAAAATTTTTTCAAAATTTTCCTGATGGAGACCCTGAAAAATCACGAAATCCCTATATGGCTCCTTGCAGAGACTATATCTTTGACAATTTTCATCCGATTCTTAAGCGGAATACCTTAAACGATTAGTAATTCGATTCTCCACTAATCTGCATTAAAAAATGGAGGAAGAATTTTTTTGAGATTTTTTTCAAAATTTTCCTGATCGAGACCCTGAAAAATCACGAAATCCCTATATGGCTCCTTGCAGAGACTATATCTTTGACAATTTTCATCCGATTCTTAAGCGGAATACCTTAAACGATTTGTATTTCGATTCTCCACTATTCTGCATTAAAAAAATGGAGGAAGAATTTTTTTGAGATTTTTTTCAAAATTTTCCTGTTGGAGACCCTGAAAAATCACGAAATCCCTATATGGCTCCTTGCAGAGACTATATCTTTGACAATTTTCATCCGATTCTTAAGCGGAATACCTTAAACGATTTGTATGTCGATTCTCCACTAATCTGCACCAAAAAATGGAGGACAAATTTTTCAAAGATTTACATGGCCTCTGTACCTATATATGTATCTGAAGGTTTTTTTTTATTATCTGTTTAGGGTGCAGGGTAAGTTCTAGTCTTAACTGAACTCCTCGAGCACATTTCAACTTGTTTATAGTTGGTGTTGTTAGTGCTGCCAGAAATTATGAATCAGGAAGTCTTAATAAGCGCAATTTCAAGTCGTTAGTCACACAAAGTACAAAAAAATGCTGGAAGCTCTCCAGGCACGTCTTTGCCAGTGCTCTGAATTCTTATACTTGCTGAATACTTATACATGTACATACATATATCTTGATGTATATATATATAGATATATGTATTTTCTGTATATATATCAGGCTATTAGCGCCTGTATTATGAAGAGGAATACACACATATATGGGGGCGGTCATTTTGCAGTTGTTTCTCTGTTCCTGTTTGCCGTTGATTTTAATTAAGTGAAACGTTTTAATGTGCGCCACAGATTTTCAGATTTTCTGCCCTTGATGCAGGCGGTACGGTAGGAGAGGGAGAGGGCACTATACGAGTAGAGAAAGCCGGCACGAGGTCAGTGGAGAATTTCATGGGCAACTATTTATTGTGCGTAGGAAAAAAAATATGTATTTTCTCGTTCTTATTTTTGTGAAATGTCAAGACAAGCGATCAAATTGCTTATTAAAGTACATGAAAAATGAGCTGAAAAGTTGTTTAAAAAAAGCATAAAACATAAAAATAAGTACATAAATAAATAGAACTGTGGATGAGTGGGTGAGGAACAAAGTCTGGCTTTGTTGATATGTTCACAGAGCAAAGCTATTTTAATTTTTTTTTTTGTTCGTCTAATGGTTATTAAAGAGATATTATTTTTCAAGATATTATCTTGAAAAAAGGATAATTATAGTATTGTAGTAATTTTTAATATTAAAGACTTCCGGATTATAATTTCCTTTAAAGTGAATATAGGAAGGAATAGGAAGTTTAAGAAAAAGTTACAAAAAATAAATAAATAATTGTTTAATCTCATCTTGAAAATTATAAAAATAAATTCAAGTTCAAATTGCATATTCGAGAATGCATGTTGTTCCTTAAACTTTCCCTTTTTCTTTCTTTTACTCCAAGCAATCATGGATATATCTATATATAAAAAATAAATATATATAAAAAATATTATAAAGCAAAAACGAAAAATTTTAACAGAGAAAAGCAGAGAAGAGAGAGTGCAATTGCAACACAAAGTCATTTAATGCAATTTACTGATTGCGTTTCGGATAATGATGTTGTTGTTGATGTTGATTATGTTGCTTTCGTAGATAGTTCTTGTTGCTGATGTATCTTTTGACATATAAGCTTTATTTTTGTATATTGCATATATTCCTCCATATTTTTTTTGTGGAAAATCCCTTTATCCCTCAAAGTTTAAAAGTCAAAGGCAAAAGAAATGTCTTTAATGGCATTTAATAAATATGGCAAAGGGGTGCGGGCACTGATGTGTGGGGGGAGGGGTGGGCTATGAGCCAAGTCATAATAACCGGCAACCGGATTCAAATTCCAGTTTGTTGTTGCCTTGCAACGAGAGAATTCCAGCTTCAAAGTTTGCTTGTGTTGTTTTTGCTATTTGAAGAAGTTTGCTTGCCTCATCATAATCATCACAGTCATTATCATAATCAGCACTATCATCAACATCATCATCATCATGTGGGTACACGTTATTATGTATTATCATCATCGCGTATGTGCTAGTTACAGAGTGACACCCATTCAATGCAATGAAATGCAATGCAATGCAATGCAGTTGACGACGATGTCACTGGACTGGTAACGTGATACCCTGTAATAAAGATAGGCCTAAGGAGGGTATTTTAAGCTATGACGTTCAATAGAAAAAGATATTCTAGAAATTCATGTTA